TGTGCTTTATTGACTATGCAAAGGCTTTCAATTGTGTGGATCATGACAAGCTATGGACAACATTGCAAAGTATGAGTATTCCAGAACACTTAATTGTGCACATGAGGAACCTGAACAGAGACCAAGAAGCAGTTGTTTGAACAGAACACTAGAACACTGGGTTTGGAAAGGTGAGCACCAGGGTTGTATTCTTTTACCATACTTACTCAATCTGTATGCTGAGCAGATAATCTGAGAAGCTGTATTATATGAAGAAAAATGTGGCATCAGGTTTTGATATTCAGATGATACAACTTTGCTTGCTGAAAGTGAAGAAGCCTTAAAGTACTTACTAAATGAAGATCAAAGACCACAGCCTTCTATATAGATTGCATCTCAATGTAAAGAAAACAAAAATCCTCACCACTGGACCAATAAACAACATTTTTATCAATGGAGAAAAGATTGAAGTTGTCAAGGACTTCATTCTTCTTGGATCACCATCAACACTCATGGAAGCAGCAATCAAGAAATCAAATGACATATTGCATTAGGCAAATCTGCTGCACAAGACCTTTTTAAAGTGTTGAAGACCAAAGATGTCAGACTAATGTATGCCTGACCCAAGCCCTGGTGTTTTCAATAACCTCATATGCATACGAAAGCTGGATATTGAATAAGGAAGACCATAGAATTGATGCTTTTGAGTTATGGTGTTTGAGGAGAATATTGAAAGTACCATGGCCTGCCAAAAGAACCAAGAGATGTGTGTTTGAAGAAGTGCAGCCAGAGTGCTCCTTGGAGGCCAAGATGGCCAAGCTTCGTCTCTCATACTTCGGACATGTTGTCAGGAAGGACCAGCATTCTCGCTGGAGAATGCTATCATGTTTGGTAAGGTGGAAGGTAGGAGAAAAAGAGGAAGACCTCCCCCCCACCCCCAGCAAGATGGATTGGCAAGGCGGCAGTAACAGTGGGCTCAAGCATGGCAACAATTGTGAGGTTGGCCCAAGACCGGGCAGTGTTTCATTCTGTTGTACATAGGGTCGCTGTGAGTTGGTACCAACTCGATGGTACCTAACAAGGAGTATTATTGCTGAGCCATAGGCTAATTTTTGTTAGAAGTTTGAAAATACCAGTCAATCCTCAGAAGATGAGGCTTTCTGCTCCTGTAAAGATTTACAGCCTTGGACCTGACTCCACGGCACACAGCCACTACCATCATACCTTTTTACAGTCTCACCAGAAATGAATGAGGGTTTCAATTTCAATACTTCACTGACAACTTTTCCCCTCCCATTCCTCCCTAAATCATAGGCATCTTTTTGTTAAGTGCCATCAAGTTGATTCTGAGGAGCCACTAGAGAGCCTTGGGGTTCAAACTGCCTTTGTCCAGCTCATTAACCCATAACTACATACCGGGACTCTGTAGCCATCTTAGTGGGGAGTAAAGTGATATTACAGAATCGACATGAAAGCAACTCGTTAATGACTAATGACTTTAATTATGTTATCATGTACATGTTGGTCATACATATAGCCTCTTTAGTGAAATACCTATTCAAGTCCTCTGCCAATCCTTTAACTGCAGGTCTGCTTTTTGTTGTTAAGTTTGTAGGAGTTCTTTATGTATCCTGGGCATTAAACCCTGGTCAGATATATCATTTTCCCCAGTCTGTAGGTCGTCTTTTTACTTTGTTGATAGTCTTTTGATGAATGAACTTTTCAATATTGATAAAGTCCTATTTAGCACCTATTTATAACCTATTCTCTTGGTGTTTTATATAAGAATCTGTTGTTAAATACAGGAATGTAGTGGCTCCATAGGATAAGCACTGAACTGTGAACCACAAGGTCAACAGTTGGAGCCCACCAGCCACTCCGTGGGAGAAAGATGAGGCTTTCTGCTCCTGCAAAAGCTTTCAAGCCTTGAAAACTGTATACAGGGTTGCTATGAGATGAAACTAACTCCAGGACACTTCAACAACAACAGCAACATTGTTAAATACAAAATCCTGAAGCAGTATCCCTGTATTTTCTTCTAGGAATTTTTGTGGTTTTGGTTCTTACATTCAGGCTATTATTCCATTTTTGAGTTGTTTGTTTTTACACATGGTATGAGGCATTTTCTTTTTCTTTTTTTACATGTGGAAATCCAATTGGTCCGTGTATCATTTATTATTAAAGAGACTGTTCTTTTCTCATTAAATGGGCTTAGCACCCTGGTTGCTATCATAGATGTATGAGTTGATTTCTGGATTTTCAAATTATATTTCATTGGCTTATTTATATTTATTCAATTCTTCTTTTTAAAAATAGAAATATTATTGAGAGATGAACTGTAATTAACAAGTTACAGATTTAAAATAAAGATTTTATTAGGTCAGCATAAGAAAGAGGTATTGAATTCTACTACAAATACAATTTTACCTTTACTTTAAAAAAAAAAAAAAACCCAACAGATTCAGCACTTTCTTGATTTCTTTGGTTTTCGAAAATCTATTTCTATTTAAAATACATTAATTAATTGAGAGGAGGATGCAGTTCTGTCAACAATCATAGAAGTAATTACAGAGAAACCTGTGAGAGCTGGAACTTGACTAGATTGTCTTGTTTTTCCACGTTTTAAAAGTTTTCCATGTTTGACAGGGTGCAGTATTGCCACTTTTCTATAGCTCTGTATTGTTATTGTTAAGTGCTGTCAAATTGAGTCCAACTCATAGCGACCTTGTATAGGATTCCCAAGGAGCAGCTGGTGGATTTGAACCATAGACCTTGTGGTTAGCAGTGTGCTTATACTACAGTGTCACATCATGACTCCACAGCTCTTTATTAGTGGACGATATCTGATCTTTTCCTTTTCTGGCAGGCTTTTACCTTATGCAAGTTCTGACTTTCACAAGCTGTACTGTGCAATAAAAAGCTGTATGCCATTTGTTCACATGGTATACACGGTAAAACCTGTGAGCGCACGAACCTGTGCCAGGCAGAAACCTATCAGTGAAGAAAGATTCAACTGCTTTTACTAAAATGAACAGTTGTTGTTGTTGTTGTTAGGTGCCATCGAGTCGGTACCGACTCATAGCAACCCTATGCACAACAGAATGAAACACTGCCCAATCATGGGCCAACCTCATTACCATTGCCACACTTGAGTCCATCAATGCTGTCACTTGGCCAATCCATCTCATTAAGGGTAGGAAAATATTAAGAACTGCATTTTGAGACCCCAAAAAGCAAGGCAACCCTGTCAAGTTCCAACTTTCACGGTCTCACTGTATAGAATGCCTATTATGTAGAAAGCATTCGGATTAGGTTAGAAATTTGGAAGATGCAAAGATGAACAAGACATGGCCCCTGCTACCAGTAGAGGTGAGTTCAGTGAGGGAGATGAGACATACACAAATTGGCACTAACAGCTGACTAATTGAGCAGACTTTGCATCAGACTTTGTGCTGGGTATATTACACTAGTCTACATGCTATCTGTGGACAGAACTAATTGTATCTCTGAGAGATAGTCAGAAATGAAGAATTTCAGGCCCAACCCCATATCTGGAGTCCTGGTGTGGTGCTGTGGGTTAATATGCTAGACCGCAAAGTTGGTATGAACTGCAAGGTTGGTGGTTCAAGCTCACCGGTCGCTCCTTGGAAACACTGTACAGGGTGCTATGGGTTGGAATTGACTTGATGGCACTTAACACCAATAACAACTCAGTATCTGGGAGCTACAATAACAACCCCATATAAGGAGCTCTGGTAGCATAGTGGTTATGAATCAGGCTGTGATCCGCAAGGTCAGCTGTTCGAAACTACCAGCTGCTCCGTGGGAGAAAGATGAGGCTTTCTGCTCCCATAAAGATTCACAGCCTCGGCAACCCTGTTCAGGGTCATTATGGGTCTGAACTGACTCGACGGCACTTAACAACAACATCTGGGAACGCAGTGGCTCCATATGATAAAGCACTTGACTGTGATCCACGAAGTCTGCAATTTGAGTCCACCAGGCACTCCTTAAGGAGCTCTGGTAGCGTAGTAGTTATGAATCGGCCTGCGAACCTTCAGGTCAGCAGTTCGAAACTACCAGCTGTTCCACGGGAGAAAGATGAGGCTTTCTGCACCCGTAAAGATATATAGCCTTGGAAACCCTCTGCAGGGTCCCTGTGAGTCGGAACCAACTCCTCGTCACATAACAACAACAAAGGCACTCCTTGGGAAAAAGATGTATCTTTCTGCTCCTTCGAAGATTTTAAGCCGCAGGAACCCTATGCAGGGCTGCTATGAGTCAGAACCAATTCGATGATATTAACAACAGCAACAACCCCATATCTACTGAATTACAGTCTGAATTTTAACATATTTGCAGGTGGCCTATAGGCACATTAAAGTTTGAGAAGTACTGTTATATAATAAATTTTATTTATTCTTAACAGTTTTATGAGTTAACTATATAATTGAGGTTTTGAAGGGTGTAGCCATGATTAAAGTAAAGATATCTTGTCTAAGGATAAACTCCTCAGGTAATTAAAACCCACTGGCAGTGAGTCTATTCCTAATCGTAGTCTCTGTTGGATAGAGTAGAACTACTGCACGGGTTTCCCAGGCATTGTGTCTTTATGGAAGCATCCTCTTTCTCCCATAGAGTGGCTGGTGGGTTTGAAGAGCAGTCTAACACTTGGCCTACTTCCTTTGATGATAGAATATTTTCAGAGACCTATTTCCTTAAGGTCAGCGGTTCGAAACTACCAGCCGCTCCGCGGGAGAAAGATGAGGC